TCTCCCTATTTATTTCAGAACCTCCTTCACCTCCCCCATTTCTAAAGAAGGGTCTAGGCCCGAAACGTCAACCTTCCTGCTCCTCTGATGCTGCTTGGCCTGCTGTGTTCATCCAGCCCTACACCTTGTTATCTCAGATTCTCCAGCATCTGCAGTTCCTACTATCTTTGAGTGATGAGTAGTTGTTGCTTCATGAATCCACTATGTAATTCCCTCAGGATCGAGTATATTTTGATCATTTTAGTTTCTAATGAGAGGTTTGACAGCTTGGGTTATAAGGGCCCATCAACGCTTGGATTTTTAAGGCTGCAGCAATCAAAGGAATGGAGAGGAGACCTGGGAAGATCACTTCCCTAGTTTCCTACTTCTACTCAAAGGTCCTGCAGAAGGATCTGAGGGGCTGCAATAAGGTCATCTCTTCCAAGATCAAGGGAATCGAGCTGCATATTTTAAGGCTGGCTTGTATTGATAAGGCCGGTAGTAGGACTGTTGTCACTTTAAACAGTGATAATGCATCAACAGGATCCAGGATGTTAAGCGACTGGGAAAGGTGGTAAGTAGCTTTGAGCTCCATCCATTCCTCACATCCCCATGTGAGCAGAAACACACACGTTTAGTCTTTTTCAGTTTTCTCTCACATCCATGTCAAACAATCATCTTCCACAAAAAATTTCCTTCCCTACTCTTTACACGAGCCATACGAATGCTCACTCCTCTTGTATTTCTCTCCTAACAGAGGAGAGTACATAATCTGATGAGAGGTGGACAGTATTAGGTTTTTAGGGAGAACTATTGCCCCTACAGTAAAAGGCACTTTATCTGCCCCTGGCAATGCATTGCCTATCTGCTCGACCAGGATGGTGGTCTTGTTTGAGGAGGCTATAGATGTCACCAGCAATCTGCCATGAGGTCATGAATTTCCTGAACCACTGGTGCCAGACCTTTTAAGATAAGAACTGCAGGCAGAAGATAACCTATGTCAGAAATTCACTTTCTTCCAGTGGATCCTATTGTCCAGTCCCTCTGTTGGTGGAGGGGCAGATAGCTATGGAGAAGAATATCAATGCCGTTGCTGGTGTTGCTCCTGCTTTTGCTGGTGCCGTTAGTAATGGTATGTCTCCCGCACTTGCCCGTCATGGATGCAAGGTGCAGCTGCCTGAGCTGTTTCTATGGAATCTTGAATATTGACAGTGTAGTTCATAGTGCTAGACAGATGAAGTGCCTAGCAACAATTTGTCAAGTACTTGTGAATCACTGTCTGAGAGGTGGCCATGCCTGGAGCTCTTCGGTGTAACTGATTAAAGTCTTCCGGCTTATTAGTTTCAATGAAACATAGGAACATAGAAACTGGGAGCAGGAGCAGACTATTTGGCCCTTCAAACCTGCTCCGCCATTCAACAGAATCATGGCTGTTCTTCTAGTTCCATGATATATTCCTGCTTTCTCCCCATACCCTTTGATACCTTTAAAATCTAGAATTTATCTATCTCTTTCTTGAATACATTCAGTGACTTGTCCAGTGAGAATTATACAGTTACACTACCCTTTGAGTGATAAAGCTTTCCTCATCTCAGTCCTAAATGTTCTAACTCATATCCTGAGACTGTGTCCTTCTGGTTCTAGAATCCCCAACCAGGGCGAAATGTCCTCCCTGCACTTAGTCTGTCCAGCTGTTCAAATTTTATATGTTTTAATCAGATCCCCTCTCATCCTTCCACATTTTAATGAATACAGGTCCAGTTGAACCAAACTCTCCCGCTAGGACACTCCTGCCTTTCCCCATATCAGCCTCAAGAACCTCCCCTGAACTCTCTCTATGGCAAGTATATCCTTTTATAGGTGGCAAGAACAAAACTACATGCTGTACTCCAGGTGTGATCTCACCAAGGCTCTGTATAACTGCAGACATCCCTACTACTGTACTCAAATCCTCTTACAATGAAGGCCAACATACCAGTTACCTTCCTAATTGCTTGCTGCACCTACAAACTTTCACCATCTGTTATACAATGACACCCAGATGCCTTTGTATATCCACACTTCCCAATATATCACTACTTAAATAATACTCTTTCTTCCTGTTTTACACACCAAAGTGTATAACTCCACAGTTAACTGTGTTTCATGTGCCATGTGTTTACCCATTAAACTTGCCTAAAATATTTTAAAGCCTCCTTATGAATAAGAACCCTGCCGAGTTTTGTGTCATCAGCAAATCTGGAAATGTTGCATTTAGTTCCCTCATCCAGGTCACTTATATCTTGAATAGCTTGAGCCTAAGCACTGATCCTTGTGGTACCCCACTAATCATTGCCTGCCACACCTGAAAAAGACCCATTTATTCTCACTCTGTTTCCTGTCTGTCATCCAGTTCTTGATCCATGCTATTATATTACTGCCCACTAACATCTTGTGAGGGATGTTATGAAGGCCTTTTGAAAATCCAAATACACCACATCCACTAGTTCTTCCTTACCAATTCTACTAGTTTCATCCATTA